CGAGCCTACTGTCAGAAATTTAAAGATGTCATTCCATTTTTGTTTTCTTTTTTTTTTATTTTTTATTTTTTTATTTATTTTGCAATTTTTGGCTGGGTCTGGGTTTGAACCGGCCACCTCTGGCATATGGGGCCAGTGCCTTACTCCTTTGAGTCACAGGCACCGCCCCATTTTTGTTTTCTTTTTTGTGGCTACTACAGTTTCTGTTGAGAAGTCAGCCAAATATTATTATTATTAATATAATAATTACTACCTTTGAAGGTAATGTCTTTTTTCCTGTGGCTGCTAGATTTTCTCTTTGTGGTTTTCAGAAGTTTTCTTGTGCGTTGAAGTATGTGTGTGTGTGCGTTTTTCTTTACTTTCTTTCTTTACTTTTTTTTCTTTCTTGCTTGTGTTTTCTTTTTCTTTTTTTTTGCATGAATTCTACTTATGGCTTGTGGAGCTTCTAGCATCTCTTTCTGTATCTCTCATTACATGCTTATTAGACCTTTCTATTTCTTCTGTTTTCCATTCTTTTATTTTGTATTGTTTGACAAAGTTAATTAATCCTGTATTTTGCTATTTCTAATTTACTATTATATCCATCTATTGAATTCTTTATTTAAGTTATTGGTTTTCAATTTTGGAATTTCTGTTTGGTTCTTTAAAAAGTAGATTATAGTTTTTTGGTGAACTTCTTCACTTTTCAATTTTTTCTTTTATTTATTATTATTATTTTTTTACAGACTGATTTTTTTTTTTTTTGAGATAGAACCTCAAGCTATTGCCCTGGGTAGAGTCCTGTGACATCACAGCTCACAGCAACCTCCAACCCCTGGGCTTAAGCCTCAGCCTCCTAAGTAGCTGGGACTACAGGTGCCCACCACAAAGCCTGGCTATTTTTGGTTGTAGTTATCATTGTCTGGCAGGTCAGGGCCGGATTCAAACCCGCCAGTTTTGGTGTATGTGGCTGGTGCCTTAGCCACTTGAGCTACAGGCTCCAAGCCTAGAGACTAGAGTTTTACTTTGTTGCCCTTTTGGGCTTACGCTATTCTCTTGCCTCAGCCTCTGGAGTAGCTCGGACTACAGGTGCCTGCCAGAATGCCCAGCTATTTTTTTGTTGCATTTTGGCTGGGGCCAGGTTCGAATCCGCAATCCTGGGTATATGGGGTTGGTGCCTTACTCACTGAGCCACAGGTGCCACCCCTTTTATCTTTTACATTTTCCTTTTATCTTCTGTTTCTCTTAAGGCATTTACTATTATTTTTGTTTTGGTGGTTATTTTTAGTTTAAGTTTTATTTTTGAAAATATTTTTTTCATATCTAATTCATTTATAAGTTATCTCATTTCTGAATTTTCTAATTATGACTTCTGTTACTCTTATTTTCTATAATTCCCCCTTTTTTGAGGGAGGAATAGTGCTATTTGTTTTTTGTTTTTCCATAATATTAGGGAGTACTTGTTTTGTTTACTTATTTTTGTACAGATTAAGTCAAAATGTTTCTTTTTTTTAAAGCTTGTTCTTATATATTAGATTCTGTTTTATGGGTATAT